CTGTATATCAACTTTAAATAGCTGAATGGAAAAAGTTGGTTCGTTAATCAAAAGATAACCAATCACAACTGGTATTTTAACAGCTACCAAAGCAAACAAATTAGCGAGAAATTGATTCGATTTGGACGCTGTTTTCTCCACGGAAGAAGTGGTCTCACAAAAAGATTTTAGTTTTGAGCAGAAGCTCAGTTTTTGCGATTGATTCTTTTGAGTTCACTGTCTGAATTATACGTGAGCCTCCACTCATCCAAACGCAACTTAAAATTAATATAGTAAATATCTTTCTTACAATTACGAACAAATTTTCCAATTTCACTTAAAAATTCAAATAGAAAACTCGCTGCTGGCTTAATTTGATTTTTCGAACAATTCTGGTGTGCCAGATTTGTTTTGGATATGAGATTTTTTATATATTTTGAAAACCAAAGAAATTTAGGTTTCTTTACCGAAAGCAATCACTTAGTTTGACAAGTGGTTCAAAATTTTCTACAACGGTTGAGTAAATATTTTGAAACACTTTGAACAAATCTGACACATAACTGAAATCAAAATCAGCTGTTTCGAGCTTCACTGTTAATAGGTAATTATTATTTTTTAGTATGTACGGCTATACTACAATGGATGTATCGTGAAAAATGAAAAGTTGTGAAATTCGTACTTCTTCCCTTTACCGAAAATGTGAGTAAATTGGATAATGATCTGAGAATGTTTGATTAAAATTTACTAAGGTGTTTACTAAAATCACATTTCTCGTAAAATATGACTAATCAACGTGTCACTTTGACTACCAAGTCTATTAGGTTCCTGTATAGGCTGATTGAATTCACTAAGTTCAACTAAATCTGATATTTTGCTGAAAGCTTGTTCTTTTCAAATCAAGTTGAAATCGCCAATAATTATCGCAGGATATGATTTTGCGGCAGAAACGTTCAACTCTTTTGGCTTATCAAATTTTGGCTGATTAAACACCACAATAAATAGAACATTTGCTTCTTGACATATTATTTAAGCTTTGATGAACTTGTCTAAATCGGATGATAGTTCATCTATAAATTTAGTTTTAATTGTGTATTGAACCATTACACCTCCACATCTGTAATTTCTTGTTTGTTAATTAAATTGCTATAACCAGACATCTTAAAGCAGTTGGGGTTATCATCAGTTAAAAGCCATGTTTCATTTAGACATTTTATATGTGGTGATGACTCGAGTTAATTAATACGTGCTTCCAGTTGATTGAGATGCTTACGTGAGGAGCTATATTTAAATGATCCAAAATAGCATCGTGGGTTAAAGGTTTTTAAAAACTTTAGTCAAAAGCTTCCTTATCCATAGCTTTTTCGGTTCTTCGACCTAAAAAGTATTGCCTTCAGATTTTGCGCTGCATAGCATCTCCTATGATTTCCATGACATAGGCAACACATACTGAGGATTACCTTTCGTGCCTTCAGTTAACTCAGCATAGAATCATCTTTAAACAAATTTGGGGTAGTTGTGAACCGCTTAAGGGATGTTAGATATGTAAATGAGGTTACATTGATGACATTTCTTGTGTACAGTAGGGATGGCATTGGAGTGCTAACTTTTGAAGCTTCTGGAATATGCTTGTTGTTTAAGCTCTTTTTCTTATTAGGAATGTCGTTCTGCATTCGTGCCCTTTTTTCCTAGCAAAATCTTTGAGTTAGTCGATGTCCTTCTTCGAGTTGAAAACTGTGAACATTTCGTTTCCATTTTTGATGATCTGGTTGATAAATTATTGGTAGTTACAATGACATATTTTTCATCAGCAAAATTTTTCAAACTGTGTATCATATTTGCTCAGCCTCTCGTGAATAAATACCGGTCTCTGGTCATTGGGATTCAAAAAAATCTCTTGTAATTGCTTCCTGTTTCAAATGGGGTGTTTTTACTCGTTATATAAGAACTTCACTACTACACCTGGGGGTTCGCGAATGTATCACGACTGAGTGGATGAAACGCATTTAATGATGCGCTTCCACACTTTTATAAAAAAAATCACATAAGAACTAACATTTAACAGATATTTTTCCATGGAAACCCAGTGCGTGCAGCAAAATCTTTGTCGTTTGTTTTGATTGATAAATCACCATTGTTTTTAATTCTTTGGACCTTTTTCTCCGTGTTAATTCTTTATAGTATCTTAATATGTGATTTAAGAGCGAGGTATCTTTTGATTTAAGAGCGAGATTTAAGAGCGAAGTATCTTTTGGACGGGTACTTTATTGGCTGAGATCCTCTCGTGTGGGATCCAAAAGAAGGGATATTTTGTGATGTTTAAGATTTGACCGCCGAAATGAGTTTGTGACTGTCAAATTGGCTTTTCTGACGGAAAGTTTGAACAAAACAGCTTACAGCAGGTCTAGTCGTTAAGGTAGGGTAATTGGAAGAAGGACCTTGCAATAAAGGAAAGAAAGGTAAAATTGAGGAAAACCAATTCACATTTTGATAATTCATTGTTACATCACACCAGAGCATATTTCACACTGTATTCTTAAAGCGTTGTGTTTGGAAGCTTCAAATAGGCTAACAGTCAAATTACTAGTGTTTCAACGTGCATTGTTCACCGCGAATGCTTGGAAACTTTAATGAAGATGTCATAGTAGTTGAAAGTGAAGGCCAAAGTCTGATTCCCGATAGACTGTATGATGACTAAAATTTTACTGTATGATGACTAAGATTTGAACTTTTGAGTTGAACTCACTTTTGTTACCTTAGACTTTATTACCTTAAAGGAGGAAGGAACTTTTTAGCTAACCGTAAAGGAGGGAATAGGTTACCTTATAAAGGTCTAATCGTATCGACCATCCCTGACTAACATTCAAACTGGGCCTATATTGAGCTACCAAAGATGGCGTGCAAAAACGGTGTAACGTTTGCTTGGAAGAATACAACGATTGAAGGTCCTCAGTTGAAGTAATCTCGCTAAAAAAATTCCGAAGAGTTAATTTCCTCAAAACTACAAAACTCTCCAGGTAATAAGCCTTCAAGGTTGGACTAATTTTGTTTTCAGTTGTGTTTCTTAATACTTGCATTAAAAATGGTTCAATTAGGAATGCTTTAATGCCAAATTTTAATTTTTATGTTGCACATTTCAAACCATACGTTTTTTATGGATTACAAACCATATTCTTTTCCCCAGCCTCGCGGTTCATAAATGTTTATGTGCGATGCAGTTTTTATTGCACTGTGGCAACTTTATATTAGTTATCTTTAAATCTGCAAAAAACCACAAAAGCACGTGGTAAATAGCCAAAATAACTTTTGGTAGCTACATCGACTATTTAAGAGCCAAACTAAATCACTTTATCTAAGCATCCCCGCACTGACAAAAATGGATTAAGATCAATTTTAGTATGAAAAAAGTACGTTGATTAAATTTAGATCGATTTTAGTATGAAAAAACTACGAAGATTAAATAAAAAAGATGAAGATTGATTTGGATCGATTTAAAATCGATTTAAATTGATCTTAAATCCCAGCTAAAAAAATTGATGCAAATCGATTTTAAATCAATTTAGATGCATTTTGTTCAGTTTGATCTTGTTTTTATTTTTAAGGGGATTAAAACGGATTTAAATCGACTTTTTTGATCCGAGATTTATCAGTTTCGAATTTTTATTGCATTTATTCAATGCCTATCATTTTTCATTTTACATCCATAGCGTATAGCGTATTGTAGCATAAAAAAGACCAAACGAAAATACCAAAATATTGATAAAATTCTATAATTCTCTTGTATATTTTGAGTTCAAAAACTTATCTACAATGATCCTTTTTTTCTTGATTCGTTTTATCCGAAGTTTTGCCCGAAATCTGATTTATCTTCAAAATTTTCTATGATTTAATTGCATATTTTTCTGACTCTTTTCTTGTTTGTTACATAGGATTTACAATAATTTTCTATAATTACATTGTCTATTTTCGAGCTTAAAATCTGATTTCATTGGATTTACAAAAATTTTCGATAATTACATTGCCTATTTTCGAGCTTAAATTCTATAACATATGGCACGAGTGTTTATATTTAAAAAATTGAGAATAAAAAAATCCAACAGTTTTTTACAGGGTGTTTTTTTCGCCTTGTTGGCAAAAAAATTGAATTTAGTGGGTCTGAAAATCCATCCAAATCGATTTAAATCAATTTTTTAGACACTTAAGTCGATTTAAAATTTTCAAAAAGATCGATTTAAAATGGATTTAAGTGAGTTTTGGATGGATTTTGGTGAGTCGGAAAATCCATCCAAATCGATATTTCAGACACTTAAATCGATTTAAAATTTTCAAAAAAAATCGATTTAAATCGATTTAAAATCCATTTAAGTTCGTAAAATGTACATTGTTAATCGATTTGGATCGATTTAAAATCAATTTAAATCGATCCGAAACCATTTTTTATCAGTGCGGGTCAGTCTTAAGACATGTGTTATGTTCGATCTCACATTATTACACTGACGGTTTTATGAAATTGGCAAACAAGAAGAAGACATGCACGAGATTGTCAAACTTTTTCCAAAATTTACTTTGCTTTTGTGCAGATTCCTTTAGTTCTCACAAATTTCAAATAATCCTTCTTAAAATAGTTGGTCTCTAGCGAGAAACTCTACGCTAAGTTGGATGCTTTCCACCAAAAATCTGCAATGATTTGATATTTTGATCATCAACTTCAAACAATATCATAATCATAAGTAAAACAAAATTGCTATAGAAAAAAATTAGCTTTATGCTACACTCGAGGAAACGATTTCAGCCTGGACACTTGGATATGTTTTTTTTGCTCGACGAAGGCCCCTGTTTTAAACCTCAGCAAAGTTATTAACTGTTAGAAATAACAACCTCAGTAAAAAAAAACGTTTTCTTCAAGTATAAAAATTGTTTGATTCATTGAATTTCAAAAATCGTATAAACTATTTTACAATATTTTTTATTTACAATTTAATAAACAATTTACATTTTAAAAAAGACAATTTCTGTATCGAAGACTTGAGCAAAATTCTTGAACAAATTTCTGGATGACTTGAACAAAATTCGTTTTGTGTAACGTTGAATCAGTTTGAGATTTAGTTCTATGAAATTTTTAGAAACGAATTTAAGTGATTGATGCCATTGGGAAAAATAGTTGCAACCAACAGTCGACAGGAAAACAATTCGACTCAGGTAGTTTTGCTATCGGGAATCAGACCCTAATTTCAAAAAGAAATTGAGCAAACCTTCTCTCTATGAAAAATCTATTACCTAAACAAAAAAAAAATATTTTTTAGAATTCCGATCAAAACTCCTAAACACAATTCAACCCAAGGTTTTTTCAACCCCGCTTTTTAACCAACCAACACGAATCTTGCTCTGATTATTTATCTCTGATAACTATATATGATTTACTTTATACTCTTCTTGCGATTGAATTAATCTTTTTTGTATTCTTTTTTTTCTTCTATCTCTTTGAGAAGGACTTCACTGAGCCAGTTTGCCCAACGTTGGCTATCTTTATTGCCTTTGACCAGGGTTAGCTCTCTTACCTCCTCTGCAGCTGACCCAAACTCATTAAGTGCATTTCTAAACAGTCTATACATTATTTCTTCGTTTCGTTTCAACATGCATTCGATGATCTTGAAACTTCTAAATTTTATTGGCCACCTAAATGCTTCCGTGATGCCTTGTTCTATTTCGGTCCAGCAATCATTTTCCTGACCTTGGTCTAGACATATATCTACAAGATGGCTGATAGCTTCGAAGTCTTTGTTCGTTTTCGTCACCATTGACAGCAAAGATTCCTTCCTTTCGCCACCTTCTATTATGTAATTCCTTTTCACAATTAGTCCAATCATCTGCGAACCTGAGACACCAATCAGTGATGTCAGAGTTCCCATCGCATGTTTGATTCCGTCGCCCGATCCACAGAAACATGCTTCGTACAGAATGTTTTGTTGATTATCCAGAATGCTAGACTGAATGGTTTCCTGAGGAACTGGGTTAAGTTTGAAGAACCTTTGTAGAAACTTTTGAAACTGGGTTATGTTATTAATGTATCCCCTCTCGTAGCCAGTTTGAAGCCAGTCGATAACATCTTCAACCGAGAAATAACTTTCAACGCTCCATCCTGTGTTTTCGTCAAATAATTCGCTGAATTTGACATCTTTCCTTTTTCCCATCACCTGCCGGAAGGTCTTTGTAATGGCTAATTTGAACAGTTCAAACTGACCTGTTGTATGGTACTTGCTCAGCAGTTGTTTTATGGACTTGACGTCTTCTTGTTGTACCATTATGGCAAATCGATCTGCAATGTTTTTTAGGGTGACATCTTTGGCTGCTCTGTTATCAGCATCAGTGTCGGATGAAGATAGCAAAATGTGCTCATCTTCAGCATTTTTGGCCACGCCACTCAAATGTTCTTTCAACTTATTCGACATCACAACGATCGACAGCGACAATTGAGCCCTCGTTGTTGCGGCTAATAATGATGTCGCTTCTGATATTGACAGTTTTTCTTTTGTTTCTTCAGTGAAAAGAATCACCATTACGTGAGGTTTTTCAAATCCAGTGAACTTTAGGTCGACTAGACTTTTATCGAATCTGTTCTGGAAAACTAATTCGCCTTTGCGTTTATCGCATTTCAATTGATCTTCATTGAATTCTAAGGGGAAAGATTCGTGTTTGAACGTGATGATAGCACAATGCTTGCCCGTTTGGTATTTTTTCCGCCATTCGGCTACTTGTGTCACAACTTCCTCCGTTTTTGAGCAGTGGTAGAATTTGATATCTTCGTCGTATTCGTAGTCTGGTGAAATGACACTGCTGCTGGTTCCACATATGTGTTTCCTTGAATAAGAAATTAAAAAGCATAAATTTAATGTTATAAGATACGATTATATCAATCGAATTTAGCTAGCAAAAAAAGATAAAATTTGATTTCAGAATGCGGTTCACGAAAAAAATTCATTTTAAAATCATGTAACAACAAATTGAAAGAAACGCATGACATTTTCAGATGTTCCGATCTTGGAAAAGTATTCCAAGATCATGCAAGATCTTGCCATGTTAACTTAGAAGATCGTGCAAGATCATGCAAGGTATCCAAGACCCATGCAAAATCTTGGCGAGATAGCCATTTTTACACGGAAGCAATAATATGATCTTGACTTTTGTGATAAACACGGAACTGTAAGGGAAGTGGCAACTGCCTGCGAAATGCAAATCTGAATGTTGAAGTAGTGTGAAATGCAGGTCTCCAGATCTGCTCACAAAGATAGCGGTAGCTACGAAGATGGTTCAGCAATATTTATCCGAAGGTTATCAATCCTTCCCCTCCTAAGCTAATTACCAGTTATTTGTCATGGTATTTGCAAGTATTAAGTTAGCAATACTTATGTACGTCTGACAAACCGCTTGCTAGCAATATAGGGTCTTTTCACTTTCTATAATAATAATAATAATAATAATAAAACAGAATTTAGGATACATCCATGGGAGTTAGCTCCCGAATCAAGTTTATGAGATCAATCATATTTTAGTTTAATGAGTTTAGTTTTTTGAAGTTTAAGCATCTTGTGCATCCGCAATTGATTCTCCAGGTGCAGGTATCGACTTCATTGTAGATTTTCTCGTAGAATTGCCAGTACACTCTTGATATTTTTGGTTTAAACGAGTCACTTAATAGGACTTCATATTTCAGGTGATCGTGAAATATGTTTGTCAGGCTGCAGGCGCGTTGCCAGAAATCAGATTCGCATTTATGAAGTCGAAAATTCTTCGCGTTGAAACGTCTTGTTGTTTTCGGTCGATTTGATTCAGTGATTTCTATAAATCGCCACCATTCCAGGTCGTTCTTTCCTCTTAGAATGTTCGCAAACAAAAGTAGTACATGCATTTCTTGGTAAAGAGACAAGGAAAGAATTTGAAGAGTGGTTAACCTCGATTTATAAGGAATTTGTTTATTTCCAAGTATCCATTTCGTTGCTCTCTGTTGCACTTTTTCTAAGGTAGCAAGATCTTGCTTTGAGGGTTTCCAGACTGATGATGCATAGCTAACGATAGGTACTGCATAGCTTTTCGGAGTCTCTCGATAAACTTATTAAATAGTTATTTTCAGTTAAAAATGAATAACAGGGCAGCCGTGGTGGCCCTCTATTTCTAACTACTGATTATCACTACACCAAATTTTACAAACCTGGTCTCTGGGAAAACAGCTTCTTCCTTCTTTTCTCCATCTCCAGTACCAGCTGAGTTCTTTCCTTATTTCCTTAATTTTATCTCTATGTTAGAAATCATAGCCGCAAGTTCCCTTTCTCACTCAATCGAACAAGGTCTAACCCCTGAACAGAAAAATATAGTAAAGCAAATTGTCTACGCCGAGGGGGGATTTAAGCTGAATCCAAGGACGAACTTTAAACTTAAAATCGTTACCGATTATACGAAGAGCCAAGAAGAGGCAACGCTCAGCAACCCCACAATAAAACGGTTAGTAAAACTCGTACTGGTTGTACTCTTTGAGTCCTTTGACTCGGAGTCCCCTTTCTAGTTTTACTACATTAGTATATAACTGAGTGTACTCTTTGAGTCTTTTGACTCGGAGTCCTCACCAAACAAATATGACACGAAATCGTGAAATGACCACTGATTCCGTATGCGAAACTTGCCAACAAAAAATCAAAAAGAATAAAGATACATTCTGTTGCATCGTGTGTAATTGCGAAATGCACCTGACGAAAAGCTGTACCAGCCTAAGCGATACAGCAATCAATGGTATTACGACACTGGGAAGAAACATTGCTCTACTCTGCAACAAATGTGTGGATTCCAACGGATATGAGAGACTCCGAAAAGCAGTCAGTGACGCTGAACAAACCTCGCCGAAGCAATTCAAGAAGATTGAAGAGGACATGGACGAACTCAGAAAGAACGTACAGCAGATTAATACGCTGTTCTCCCAAACAACAATGAAGCCAAATGAGATCAAATCAGAAGCAAAAACCAAGGTACCGATAAACGCAACCTCGAAACAAGAAAATCAAAACGGAATCCGCATCCGCGGCATCCTTGAACTAAACGACAAAGATCAAAGAAAAAGACAAGAAAATGACCTGCAACAAGTAAAGGAAATCTTGGAGCACATGCAAATTCTGCCAGAGATAGTTGATCTGTTCCGGATGGGTCAACGACAGGAAGGCAAGGACCGAACCATACTGGTAAAAGTCCCAATTTGGCAGAAACGACTAATACTATCATCCGCTTGCCGCCTAAAAACATATGACAAACCTGTGTTTGTCAGCCGCGAGCTATCTGTGGATGAAACAAAACTCGAAAATCAAGCACTGCAAAAACGGCGGGAGCTCATAAACGAAAACATCGATGAACAAAACCTGCGCATCCGCGATGGAAAACTCTACCAGAAAATAGAAAACAGATGGACAGCAGTTGCAACCGAAAAAACGGAGAACTCAATCTCCAATTGACTAGAACTCTTTCCTAGCCTACTCATCTACAACGTCCGAAGCATACTCGACTACAATCGAAGATCAAACTTCGCAAATGCGATAAACACAAGCTGTCAATACCAACTACTTTGCCTAACCGAAACATAGTTAACCAACGAAATAACAGACAACTCCATATTCTTACCTCAATTTGAACTCTATCGATCTGAAAGAACTTCAAAAGCCGGTCTATCAAAACACAGAGGAGTTCTAATTGGCATCAACGCCAACATACCACATAACCGCATTGATACAGGCATGCAAGACTGCGTAATGGTTCAACTCAAGATATCTGTACCAATACTTGTCTGCTGTATATATTGTGCCCCTGTGTATAGCCCATACCGATGGTCACTAGATCAACTTAACTCATTGCTGAACTTAATAAAAGCAACACAACGCGAGCAAGGCATACAAAATCTTGTCATTGTTGGAGATATCAACTTCTCGTGTACAAATTGGAAATCACTCTCATCAAAATGCGAGTACGAACAAAGCATCCTAGACAACTTCCAGGAATTAAACCTGGAACAATTCATCATAACCGATACTGGAAAGAGCCTGGATATCCTGCTCTGCAACAATCCTGATATCATTCTAGACGTATACATGGACAATCGGCTCAAAAACGACTTCTCCTCAGATCACCCACCTTACGGCTCAAAGTTACATATGAATCACAAAATAAATCACGAAAGGGTCCCTCTACCCTCCCAAAAGTACGACTTTTCAGGCTTTGCCTTCAAAAAAGACAACTGGAACGAAATCAACGAATATGTGCGAGAGCACCACTTCAACCCATTCTGCTACAGCAACGTTGATCTCCTGGTAGATCAGTGGTATAATTGGATCTACGGTATTATAGTCAAACACATACCCCGAACAACCCAACATAGGAAACATCTAGCGCCCTGGGTTTCTCCCACGAGCTCAAACCTCATGAAAAAAGTAGAAACTCTCAGACGCCAAAGTAAAACAAATACCCTAAAGATCCAGCAATTACAAACTGAATTGTCCTTATCGCTCTCAGCTGACCAATGCAATCATGAAACAGAAATTTTCATGTCTGGAATCTTCTCAAACGTCCAAAAATACCTCAAAACTATCATGAAAACAAGCTCAATCCCAACTGTAGTATTTCTTGACGATAAGTCAGCTAATACCGATATCGAAAAAGCCGAATTATTTAATCAGTACTTCCAATCCGTTTTCAGTAAGAATCACCACGATTATACTCTCACAAAGGGACAGCCCAAGCTGTCGATGATTCATTTCTCAGAACTAGAAATACAACTCGTTCTCCAATCGCTGGACAAGAGCAAGGCCAAAGGACTTGACCGTATGGGGAACAACCTGCTAAAAAAATTATCAGACTCCCTACCAAAATCACTGCATCTCATATTCAACACAATTGCAAACAAATGCTACTTCCCATCATTCTGGAAAACAAGTGAAATAATCCCCATATTTAAAGAAGGGAACAAACAAATGGTAGATAATTACAGGCCGATCAGCCTCCTCGTAGCAGTATCCAAAGTCCTCGAGAAACTTATTTTCGACAGAATGTACCAAATCTTATCCACCACATTGTCCCAATCTCAACACGGTTTTTGGCAAAGACGCTCATCTATAACAAACCTAATCGAATACCTGCACGAAATGTATGTGAACTTTGACAATAGCAACTGCCACTTCCTAGCGTCATTTTACCTCGACTTCCAGAAGGCTTTCGACAAAGTCAATCACAATATAACGATCGAAAAACTCAGCAGAGCTGGTATAACAGTCCCAATACTGGATCTAATCAAAAAATACCTGACCGGTCGAACCCAAACAGTACGCATCGGCAGCTCGGTCTCAAGCCAACTGCCAATTTATAGTGGAGTGCCGCAAGGATCTGTTCTAGGGCCACTCCTTTTCTTAGCATACATCAACGACTTGCCAAAATGTGTCATGTCATCGTGCTACGGCTATGCGGATGACTATAAAATTATGGGCACCGACCCAACTACCCTGCACATCGATATTAGAAAAGTCTGGAAGTGGTGTGAAACCAATGAAATGCGCCTCAATATGACCAAGAGCAAAACACTAGTAATTAAGGGCGAGTGCAACCTAAGTATATTCTCGTACAAATTCGAACAGCCTAACGAACTAAGAGATCTTGGAATGATAATATCAAAAAATCCTAACTGGACTTCTCATGCAAACAATCGTGCGAGCAAAGCACTGAAGGCCCTATACTGCATCAAAAGAAACTTATCACCTGCCACAACCATGAACAACAGGAAAAATGCATATAATAATCATAATAATAATAAAAAAACAAAATTTAGGATACATCCATGGGAGTTAGCTCCCGAATCAAGTTTATGAGATCAATCATATTTTAGTTTAATGTGTTTAGTTTTTTGAAGTTTAAGCATCTTGTGCATCCGCAGTTGATTCTCCAGGTGCAGGTATCGACTTCATTGTAGATTTTCTCGTAGAATTGCCAGTACACTCTTGATATTTTTGGTTTAAACGAGTCACTTAAAAGGACTTCATATTTCAGGTGATCGTGAAATATGTTTGTCAGGCTGCAGGCGCGTTGCCAGGAATCAGATTCGCATTTATGAAGTCGAAAGTTCTTCGCGTTGAAAAGTCCTTGTTGATTTCGGTCGATTTGATTCAGTGATTTCTATAAATCGCCACCATTCCCGGTTGGTCTTTCCTCTTAGAAATGTTCGCGAACAAAAGTAGTATCTGCATTTCTTGGTAAAGAGACAAGGAAGAATTTGAAG